AATTGTCAAGGTCCTCTTACATGTTTGGATGGCAATTTTGAAGAGTTATACTGTAAGTAATACAATTTAAAGTGCAAGTAGAAGTGTTGATGAAGAATCAAACATAACTGCCAGTTATTGGTTCTTTTTTTTTTAAAGGAAGTTCTTTTTATTCTACATGTGCAGTAATTTGCTGGTGCTTTACTAATGTCTATTCTGTCACTTCCCAGGATACGCACTCTTGAGATACTGTGCTAAACTGCTTTTGAAAACTGGACCATGTAATCTGCTTTGTAGCAAAACAGCAGTTCTAGTAGGCTATTTCACTTGACATAAAGTCGATTGTCTGTTTAGTGACAAGAATACTTCTGGACTTATAGTATGGTACAATTTTGGGATCTTTTTTTATATCATATATTGTCTGAAGCTAAATATCTGTGCTCACAGTATGTTACTGTAGTATTTCAAACTTAATTTATACATTTAAGACAGTGCTAATTTTTAATCAGAACTCCTTGTTTTTTTTTAAATCAAACATCGTCTACGAATATATATTAGCAGAAAGAAAACCAGTAAGGTGACTATCTGCCTTACCTGGAATATGTGAATGATTGATACATATAACAAAAGATAAGATGACACCATATCCCAGATAAGTATAACAACTAGGCTGTCCATTGTGTAAAACTTAGTGTTATTAAATGGCATTAGGCAATTCTGCCGTAATTTCTTGGGCCCTACTATCATGATGCCTTGTCCATTCTCAAAGTAAACTATTAAAAGATAATGATCCTAGAATTAATAATTCATAAGTCTGGCTTTAAAATAATTATATTTTTAAGTTGTTCAATAAACATCAGGTTTTTTTCCCCTTTCACATTTTGATAGTAATCTCTGTCTTAGACAGGCTCAGAATATTTCTTTTAATCCTCAAGGCTTAATTTTCTTATTTTTTTCTTCAGTTTAATCTGTACAACATCTTTCCTGGAGCAGAAATGTGATCAAGACTGCGGGTAGCCTCAGGAATACAACTCACAGATGCATCAATGATGCCTGAGACAAATGAGGACTTACTTTTCCTTTACAGAGATAAGAACAAAAAACCCAAAGAACTTGCCAGAAATTGCACTGGCCTGTTCTCAGGGGAAGTGGAGACCATGCATCCTCACTGCTTTGCAGGGAGATCTTACATATTTCAAAATGTTTCCCCTGTCCACAGTCTTTTCTCCTCAAGACTAAGCCAGTTTGGTTTTTAGTCTTTTTATATTGCCAATCTTGTTGTTGCTGCTTTGTTTTTGTCTTTTATGTTTCCCATCTTCCTTGACATTAAATTCTCAAGACTGGGCACAGCACTTCTGATTCCATGTGAAGGTAGAAGGACCTGTATCACATATGGTTAATCTTCCTGCCTATTACAATGTCTGTTTTTCTTTTGCAACAGTATCATTATTGACTGGAGTTAGTGGTTAGACATCCCTCACGTCCCCATGTGTTTTCACTAGGAATTCTGCCTAGGTGTTTGCTCCCCGTCTTGTATTCTTACAGCTGATTGTGGCATTTTTCACCAGGCAGATGCCACATATTTTGGAAAGCCAAGGCAAGGCAGGGCAGGGAATTGGGAGTGGTAGAGAAGGAGGAGGGGACTTAAGGTCCCTTGGGATCCAACTGATCTGCTGTGGGATGCAACTAAGCAAAACTTGTGTTTGTGTCTCTCGCTAATTCATTTCTTCCCACAGACAGATTTACATTTCCAAACAGCATAAAATGATTGTAGTACCACGTAGTTCGAGTTAAGATTGAGCAGCATTAGCTACATATGGCTGTAGAGCTATAGACCATCACCCTGTTCAACAGCGCATCTAATTTTTTTTTCACACTATTTGAAAAGGCTGTATGTGTCAGTGTCAGAAATCTTTCTTTAAGATCATGAAAGCTGTATCTACCATTTCTCCCCAAGGAGCAGCACCTGTTACTCTGTCATGTAAAGAAATAAGATTAGTTTTGCACAATTTCCTCCTAAAAAATCTTGACAATTATTTATCATGTTTGAAGAGTTGACATGTAGGTTGTTTGATTACTGATCCCAACATGCTTCTAGGAATTAAGAAATAGAAGGATATGAAGTTACAATTTAATGTGTCTTCATCTTTTTTTTTTAACGAAAAGACATAATGGCCTAATTGAGCAAATTACCAAATTATTTCAAAGGGAACTTAGGTGCTCAGTAGTTAAGAATACAAAACTATCTAAAAACCTGAATCAGAGATACTTTGCTGAAACCAGGACTGTGTCTGTCCTTTCTAAGTTTCTTTCCTCCAGGAAGTCTCAAAAGTGTGGCCATTACCAGCCATGAGTGTCTTTCATTGGTTCCCACAGTAGCCTAGGTTTCATTTCATCAGGTTCTGCCAGTTGAGGATGGATGCTTCATCTAAGTTTTACCTGACCTGTTCTCTGCCCACTCTTCTTCATGTTCTTTAACCTTATTGCTGACATTAATTACATCAGTCATTTAATCATAATTAATCTTTTTGTAGTAAGGACTAAGGCAAAAAGAGCGTAAACTGCCCTGTTTTTTTTATGCATCATATACTATTAGCTTTTCTTCCTTCCCGCATACTGAAATGAGTCTGCTTTTGGTGGTGGTATGATTATTATTAGTAGTAGTAGTATTACTACTATTGTTGTTGTTGCTGCATTTAGAGAAAGTTTTGTTGTCACCTCTAATGCCCCTAGACTGACTGTTCTATTTTGCTGCTATTTGTTTTCTGTTTTAATCCTTACCAAATTAATGTAATTTTCACCTTTTTTACTGTTCTGTCTCATGTAGCAGACCACTGAAAAGTCATGGATTAAAATTATCCCTAATTATGCTATTTTTCATTAGAACAATTTGTGCTTGCATTCTTAGTATTGTTTATTTAATCTTTACCAGTTCTCTTGAAGCCCTTTACCATTGCTTGCCACAACATGCAGTTTATTAATTCTGTGAGTCTGTTAAAATCTAGAGGTTTTAAGGCCATTGTTCTTAATTTTTTTGCTCTTCTTTCATGCTGTCCTAAGCATCACAAATTAGATCAATTTCACCCAAGTTGTCTTCCACTTCCTATGCATTTCACAAAAGTATCTGCATAGTTCCATGCTCTGGATGCAATCATAGTTCGTTTAAGGAATTGTAATCTTGAACTTTTTTGTAGATTACATTGTTGAGATCTTTTAAAAACATATTTTCTGTTTTCTTTTTTTTTTAATTATTCAGAGACTTCAAGATAGCCCATATAATATTACTCAGACAAAGTGCATATATATTTTAGATGATACAGAACAATACATTCTTAATTCCTTAATGTCTTTATAAACAAGCTACAATAGTCTCAGTTTGGTCTCTATTACACCATGTATGTATCTTTTGTTTAAATACTGGTGTGAAAGTTCACAGTTTGTTCTCAGTTCTCCTCTGATGTTTATTGTCTGTGTCCCTATGATTTATATCTTTTGGTCAGCTTATGTTAGTGGCCTTCATGTAACCTAATATAAAGCCATGTTCACAAGGTCTCAGATTCATCTCCCCTCATTTTAGCTATCTAGAAACTGAGAAACTAGACTAATCAGGACTGAATTTGGTTTACCTAACTTAACATGCAGGGTCATCTCAGTCATCTGACTACAATCCTATCTTATAGAGTAGAGATTCAGCCAATATATTACAATTTTGAATTTATTTTAATTGCAGTTCATTTGCCAAAACCAGGGGTCTAACTATGTTTTCAATGAGATCAAGCTTCATTTAAGTGAAACAGAAAAAAAGGACCAAAGGATGAGAGCTTCTATTGTCCCCTGAGGGAACAGATTCTTGTCACAGTTCTTCAAGAAATAGTTCCTAAATACACCATATGATAAAATACAGCTTACAGACACATCCCTAATAGACCAATCAGTCAATTTTCTTTATCTCCACAGATGAAGGAATCTCTTTCTTTAGTAGGAGAAGTTCATTCAACTATCCTCTGTTTGAGCTAGTAGTAATCAAGAAAATATTGTGTTTTCTCCATTTTTATTAATAGTTGTGTGCATGGAAACCCAGGTATGTGATAGTCATGTAGATGAACATATAGACTCTTATGTGTAGAGGTAAGTGTTCAACAATGTGGATAAGGCACATTTAGACTCCTTGTATTGCACACCTGGTCCCCATTTAGCTGATCTTTTTGAGGTATCTTTGTGGGTTTGTCTTGTGCTTGTGTTGAGCAGATGCTTTAATTTGTATCACTAAGTTCTCTGCACTTGCTTAACTAAAAGTATGTGGACTGGACTTCAGGAGCTGGTAGTGAAAGAGATACTATTGGACAGCATTTTTAAAATTTCTGACTTTATGGAAAGCGAAATTAATTAAAAGTGAAAGAAAGAGGAAAGGATCACTCCTTCCTGAATATATTCTTGTTACAGTGAGACATGACCACATTGGGTATAGGAAATATTTGACATCGGCTGTGGAAGACTAATCATCCCACAGATTACATCCATAAAATCACAGCCACTTACTATACAGTTAATACATTGCTATGAATTTATGGATGTCATATTTATATCTTTGATTTATGGATATATGTAAAGCAATTAGTGTATATACTTTTTTTAATTGAAAAAGATTGTCTGTAGTAAAAAAGCAGTTGCTTTACGTGTGTATAGTTTGACAAGACACAAGATAGTAGCGCTGCTGGATATGAAACTGCCGTCTGCTGAGTGCTTACTGCTGGTCTGGAAGGACTCCTGGGACAGAATGAGCCAGAACTCTTTAGTTTGTTTCTTAGATCTTTATTAGTTTCTTGTTTCAGTTTGGGTTTATTGCTTTGTTTTCTTTTATTGTGTTCCAGATAAAATTCATCATCAGAGGGACCCTTGTGTAAACCTAACAGAATTTCTCTTTATTTCAGTTCATTGTGTATTCCTTGGAGACTTGCACCCAGTAAATTCTTCACCATTAACTTGGATATTCAAAACCTGTGATTTTTCTTCTCTTGTAGAATCAAGTGAACATGAAGAGAAGAGCACAGGTGTCTCAGGTGAGATATCTTCCACCCAACCTTGTCCTGCACCAGGATATACTCAGCCTGAAGAAGCAAAGGAGGATATGGATGTAACAAAGCAGACTAAACCTGAAGAAAATGATGACTTGGGCCCACTGCCTGATAACTGGGAAATGGCTTATACAGAAAAGGGGGAAGTCTACTTCATTGAGTGAGTCTTATTTCTTCTCTTTCTAATAGCCGTATTGTATTTAACTGGGTGGAGAAATGGTTTGTATGCTGAAGTGAAGCATTGCACTCATTAAACAGCAGGGATGTTCTGGCTGTCAAGGCTCCTGAGAGCTGGTGGCAATCCCTACATTACTGACTTACATTGAAACATGCTGTTTTTTAAGACTAGTAACTGGACTGCTTAGCAGTTTGGTGTCAGCAATTAAAGCTGTTTCTTCTGTTGTAAACAATGTTTTCTGGCTGTTCCAGTGCTTATGGAATAGTAGCACAATTCCTGGGTTCTTCCTTATGTGGACAGAGGTGAAGAGGGATGAGATTTTTACCAATTTAAGGAAAGAAAGAAAGGCAGGCTAACAAGTAGCTAGTGAATGGTAGTGAGAGGCTGTGCTAGATTTTGAAATAATAAAATAAATGAGTAGACAATAAGGGAAATTATTAATGTGTAGAAACACTTACCTGTTGGTAGGCTTTACATACCTGCTGCTACCGTTGCTAATTAGCCAACTCAGAACAACTGGATATGAAAGTTTTTTCTTCTCTAAGTGCTGACATCAACACACATTACCAAAATAAGAACAGAGAAAATCAGTGAGTTCTTATGACTTAATGCCCTACAAAAAAAAAAAAAAAAAAAAAAAGGACACCCCAGCATCTTCAGTAGAGCACTACTACAGAGGTAGCACTAGCGTTTTGCTTTAAGGAGCTGCCTCAAACAATTTGGAATTGCCATTATTCTGATTATTAGTAGTTAAAAATAACATTTAGTGGTGTCACTTCTGCCTTAAGTTCCTTAGTTCATGTAAAATTTCATGACTATCACATGAAATGTAAACAAATTATAAGTATAAAGTTTGTGCATATGATTTTGCATGAACACTGGCATGACCAACTATAGCTTCTGACATACACAAAGCTGAAAAGAGCAGTAGCTATTAAAACATAAGAGTCTTTGCTGAAAAGAACAAACATACGCTTATTCTGGAAAAGAGTAATTATAGTTGTTTTGTCCAAGCAAGCAGAGAAGAACTAGCATGACCTCAGGGCAAGCTCAAACCCTTGTTTCCTTCCTTCCGACCTCACTCTCAAATTTAATTTTTCTGCACATATTGAATGCTCTGACAGAGAGCAGACTGAATTATGTGGCACTTCCATTTTACTTGTTGTAATAAAAGCTTGTGACACGTTTGGGGGGGTAGGAACTAACACACCAAGCTATGACAGTGCTAAGCACTCCAGCAGGGAATTTAATAGAAAATAAACATATATTTTGTAACAAATACAGTGAATGTTACAGCTTACTTCCTTTCCTAGTAATGCTCTAGTTTACACTGCTGTTCTGACAGCAATCATTATTCACTTCCACTAAATGAGTGTTATGTAAAGCAGAGAAATCAATCAGAGGTGCAGACTGGACAGGAAGACTGTTGTAAGGTCTACTTGCCTTTGGGATTATATTATTAAATAATGTAATTACAAAAAGTGCAATTACACTTGTGTAAAAATATGAGATGATTTTACTAGAATCCTATCAAAGGATAAAGTTTGATCATTTGAGTTTTCACATTGCACAGTCTTCACAGGGTTAAGTAGGAATGTAATGCTGTGGGGATGCTGTTAAATTGCCTCTTTGTTTACAAGTCACTTTGGTTAATGGCATGAAGAGACTCCATTTGCTTTCACAGAAAAACGGAAAGATAAAAAGACAACAAAAACCTATTTGTCTAACAACATCTCCCTGAACAGTAGTATAGATTGTACTAGATTATTAAATAATAGATGAAAACCAAATATTTTTAAAGTGTACATCACAATGGGTGGAAAAAAGTCATGCTAGGCAGCAGCTTTTATTACTTTATTTGAGGTTCATATGAATTGCACCTTTAAACCCTAAGGACTTCAAGCAGTAAGTGATCTCAAGTTCCAGGTTGTCACAGGTATATCCCAGAGGTCTTAGATTTCATGACGACATTTACATTCATTCACCTCAGACTAACCTCTAAAATTTGTATGTGAGCTCATTTATGAAAACTGCCATCAGAAGTAAGGTGGCAGATTTACAGTGAGAGAGGGAGTGACTGTAAGAAGTAACACTGTCTGTAGACAGTATTATTTATTTGTTAATCGTTAATGGCCCAGTTAATATTTTGCAAAGCACAGTGGAAGGAATTTCCTCTACCTCAAGGACTAAACAAACAAAAAAAAATCATATACTAGATCCACTGCATGATTCAGAGGATGGTTATATTTTAGAGCATGGCTTGATCTGTTTCTTCCTTTCTTTCCCGTTTTTGCCATAGGTGCATGACCTTATGTTTACCTATATCAGCATTCACAGACAGAACAGGAAGAGCATCCCTTCTTACAGCATTATACTTACCACTGTTTTTCAGGAAGAGCTACTTAAGTACATTTCTTGGGCTGTTTCCAGCCTCCCTTACACAGGAATCCAAATTTTCAACTAGAGGCACATATGACACATAGGAGTCCATCTCCTACACTTTATTTCATTGAGAACATACACAAATGAGAGCATTCAGTAATTAAAACACTGTATATTAATTGGAATAACACTAAAGAAACCTCCAGTTCTTCTCCTCCTTCCCTGCTGATGAGTGTGACCTATTTTTACATGCTTAAATAAACTGTAGCCATCACTGAGGGCTGAGGAAGGGCTGAAATTCCTCATAGCCTTCAGCCCTCATCTTGCCAGCTGCTCTCAAACCACAAACTAGAAACATGAGCATCATGTTGTCCTCATAAAGTCAGCAGATACTGTCTGTGCTGGATCTCAGGCAGTCAATGTTTGCTGTGCTGGTCCAGTACAGTGTTGGAAGGAATACAAAAGGACCAAGTTTCTTGGTTCATCTGTTATCGTGTGCAGTCAGCATTAAATGCAGCCCTTCCCAAAAACTCCATCACATACACCATTACATTATAGACTGTCGCAGAGTTGGTTACAGACTATGATACTTATTTATAAAAGGCAGAATTGATTTTGCCTCTCCAGGCCTCTATTCACCTATAAGCAGCAGAGCTTTCTGGACGGTGTGCGGGGAGAGTAAGACATTAAACCAGGAAGAGCTGCAGTTTGTAAATCTGAGCTACAATGAGGTCTTGAAGAATAGTCTCAAGGATATTACACAGCCCATGACTAAAGCTATATAATTCTATACCATTTAAAAGCACATGCAGTTTCCTTTGTTTATACTAATTTAAGAATTGTTTTGTTAGTGGAGAAAAGTCTAGAGTAAACTCAAACCTCTTTAATACATCTTTAAAGGATCATCTGTGACTTATGGTGATGATTTTTAGGGCAGTATGACCACATGAGGTTTAACAAACAACTTTTCAATACATCTTACATTCAGTCTCTTCCTGCTTCAACACGTACTTCTCCAAGCAGCATAGTCAGCATTGCTTTTTGGACCTTTTGCAGTATCTTTCTAGTCGTTAAAGCATCTTTTTTTATGAGGGCACCATAAAAGACTACAAAACAGCTATAAAATAGTCCTCTGCCAAGGACTCTCCTCTTCACAGTAAAAAGCAGTCATTAAGTTTTTGAATACAGCTGGTGCTATTTTAGGTTTTACCTGAAAAGAAGTACATTGGAAAAGTAAAATCCTGCCCTAGTTTGTTTCTAGGAATATTGCTACTGACTTAAATGGGATCAGTATTTCTTCTCAGTAGTTTTTCATATAAGAAAGGCTTTTGACTGCAGGAGTAACATGTTTATCCTAACATCTTGCTTACCTAAAGAGTCATGACATATTCAGCTGTTCTTGGTTGCTCCATCAGTTCACTGTCAGAAAGCAGGATATATTACTTAGTCCTGGCTACACCATTACGTTTGATAACTCTTGTCTTTTACACTAGAAGGTACTAGAAGTACTGAGGTGGAAGTACACCCTCCTACCTGATCAAGATTGCCTCCATATCCTGCAATAATTATCCGATCTCTTATAAGCTGGCTTGGCACTCTTATGAGTATTACATCCTCAGTGTATTAGTGCTTAATATTGAATTTTGGCATGTTTTAGTTATATGGCTATTTCTGCTACTTTAATTAAGTAGCAGTTAAGATGGAGGATATTTTTTTCACAGGCTGTTTTAATATTTACTCCTGATGGGTTTGTCCTTTAGGAAACAAGCAATCTTGTGCCAGTACGACTTTATTGTGTGGACAATTCTGAATCACCAGGGCTTTTGTGAATATGATTGTAGATGTCTGCAATTCTTTATCCTTGCTTATATATTGTGTTGAATTTGTCAGTTTTGGTCAGCATAACAATAATCAGATCTTCAATGCTCTTTGGACTTCAACATGACATACACTGGGACAGGCAATAGAAAAGTTTTCTCTTGGTTTCTTTCTGCTGAGACCATTTCCTTGCCTCATATCAAATTAATTAAGAATGGGGAGATGATAAAACTGGAAAGAATTTGGGGAATGCTGAGGTTTTTTCTTCTCTTGTCTTTTGATGTTATAAAGACATTTTCAGTCTGTACTACTGGTGTCGTGTCCCTTGCTCTCACTTGCTGTTTTTATCTATGCTGACATCCATGTCAAACTGCCAGCTCAACTCCTGTTGTCTTCCCTCACTTTCTTATTTCTTTTCTTTCCTCTGTTGCTCTGCTTTGCTGAATTCCTCTTCCAACACCTTTACTCTGGTGTTTGTAGTGGTATTATAATTTTTCTCCTTTCTATTTATTGAGCTAGGTGATTCAACTCACCTGGCTTGCCATGTAACACTAGCCATCTAGTATAAACCAGTTGCTAAGACTCTTCCAGTGGTCAATAGAGAGATAATTACCTCCAGAAGCTGGTTCATCCAGTCCAAAGATACGGCAGAATTACTTTGACTAAATATAAATGCTTCTACCAGTAAAGATGCCCTGAGCTCTTCAAGAGTATGTCTACAATAGTATGTAATTTGGGTCAAGAATACACCTTTGAAGCAAATCTGTCTCTCTCTGTGAACT